CCTCCTGCCTTCCCTCTGCCCGGGCCAAACGTCACTCCTGAGCCGAATGAAAAAATCAAGGTGGCAGGCAATTCCACTGTTGCAGGCGCAGAGAACAATTGTTCCAGGCACAGAAACCTGTGCACAGAGCACCAAAAACACTTCGGGCTGGGATCTTGGCAAGCAATTCCACTGTTGCAGGCACGGAGCTCCACTGTTCCAGGCACAGAAACCTGTGCACCGAGCACCAAAAACACTTCGGGGTCGGATCTCTAAGATAAAGAAGCAGTAGCCCACCTTATGGCCACAACTGATACAACAGAACATACCATTTCGGGGCGCGTTCCCCCTTGCTGCACCACGGGGTCGGCGGATTACAAAGCTATGCCAGGAAACAGATATCAGTCAAGACAACTCGAGTAGCACTCAGTCAACAAGATTGCAAGAGATGCATGATCAGATCGTACGGACTACCCCGATTGCCGCTCTTGCCGCTCTTTTTGCAACTTTGCAAGCCGAAAAGATTTATATAATTGACCTTTCGTCCCCCCTGTCCCTGTCTCATCGATTTTTCTACTGAAAGCCACTGCTGAAAGACTGCGGCCACGATGCCGCGTCCTTGACTTCCTTTGCCGACCCATTTTAGAAGACCTCACCCAACCCAAAGAAAATCCTGGGAAGAGCAACACGTAGGCGAACCACCCCCATCTAATATATATATATATAATTGGAGGGCAGGGACGGCTTGTCAAACCGAGCCAAAGGAAGCAGATACCCTCCAATCCTGTCCTGACAAAATGACTTGAAACTTTTGTTTGATGATTCTCTTCCCAGTCCTTCGCCGGGTCCTGCCCATTCCATGCGTGCAACGAGTGCTGTGCCCACCCCTCTCGCCGTGCGTCGCCGTGCGTCGCTTTCCTCAGGAAGACGCTGATCCAGCACCCTGTGATCCGCTGGAAGGTGGCCGAGATGGCGCGCACGGTGGAGGTGGGCGAATCGAGTTCCTTCTCGATCGTGTGGGTGGTCGCGTGCGGTGATGCGGCGAGGGGTACAGACTGGGCCTTGGTGTTCGGCCCTCTGTGGGGAGAGGGGTCATTGCCTCATTCCCTGCTGAGCACAAGACATCGTTGAACGAGCCTAAGAGCAGATCCTGAAAGGCAGATGGCCTCAGAGCCTCAGAAATGTGGATGGAAAGACACCAGCTAGATCAGTTGCAATCTCTTCATTTTTTCCTCCTGATTGCAATGAAATGTGGATGGAAAATAACAAAACATGATCAGTTGCAATCTCTTCATTCTGTGCCTTCTGCAACACGTGCCACAAAAACCAGGGCAGACATCCGATCGAAAAGACCACAACGCGGCGACGAACGGGACGTCTAAAGCACTCGCGCCGACTCTTCCAACTCTGTCTCCAGGCCACTCACAACTGGCTTGAGTGGATCACCTATCAGTTGAAGACCATGCCAAAGATCGAGGCACCCCGCGTTTACCCGCGCGCTTCCATTACACTTCCAAGTTTGTGTGTCACCCCAATTCGTTCTCATCCGAGAATCCAAAACACCTCAAAACATCTCAAAACAACTGCAACATCGACCAGGTGATCCAATTGATGGTCTCCTCTCACTTCAAATTAACACATGCTCCATCATGCCCCTTTTTTTTGAGCGCAACAACAACACCTTCAGATTGGGTCTGTCCTATTTTTTGATCCCCGTTGAAATTTCCTCTACAGATAGGGGTAGCTCGAGGCCCTTACAAAGGGGTCATTTTGTAACAAAGCACTTTTTGGCAGATGCCGAAACTTACACCCTCCCATTTTGTAGAGTCAAAATCGGCATCCAAGTTATGATCAAAAAAAATTAGAGAACATTTATATGAGACATGAGGACGTCAGGGTACCCTTTTTGTACAGCGCCAAAATCAAGGAAAAACAGGGGGTCAGGGTACCCTTTTTGTACACGTTTGAGTGTTCGTTTCTTGGAGTCAGATTCTTTAGTCGCCTGAGTCAGATACAAATACATACTCCGAGGTGAAAATTGATGGTTTGTATTTTTTTGTTGCTTCGTCTTCGAACTCCAGGGGGCAACACACTGTTGCGCCATCTACAAGTCCAAAAACCCTGAAAAACTACAACATTTTTGTTGCCAAAAATCTTGCCCTTTTTTCTGCGCATGGAGGCTTTGTGTCAGAACCACAGATGGCGCAATGCCAATCAATGCATACAGTAGGTTTCAATTCTGCAAATCTCACCACTGATCCTTCAATGTCCAGATTCCTGAGCAGTCCTTGTGTTTGTTTGCCGCGTTCATTTTTTAGGATGGGAAAAAGAGCTTTGGGATGCGCCATCTATAGAATCTACAAAAAACGCTTGGTTTGGTCAAGGTGCAGCCTTAGTTTTCGTGATGATTAATGTTCAGTATGTGGTGTTGAGCCATCTATGGCTATGCCGGTTACCCCCTGAGTTGCGCCAACAACTTTTTCAGCGGCGTACCCGGTGTACATAAAACAAATCCACTCTGCATCCAATGGACTCGTCCCAGTACACGTGGTGCCAACTCTTCCTTCCGCTGACCAAAGAGCATTGAGAAACTCAGCCACGATTCATCAAATGAGGATGGACCAAAGATTTGTTTACACAATGACTGTCACCAATGTTTGTCTTTACAAAGTGGGCATGAACAGAGAATCATATTGGCATGTCACACAAAGTCGGCATGAACAAAGAATCATATTGGCATTTGAATGCATTTCACACTATTTCACAGGACAGCAAAGGTCAAGTTTAGAATGGATAATGTGAATTAGTCTCCAAATACCTGAGGTTCACATTTTGTAGAGATAGTTCAGGGTCATCCCCATTTTGTACTGTAAGCAAGATTTTTAGATGTAAGCACTGTTTAATATACTTTCCGTTAGCACCGCAAGTTCATTAAACAAAAACACAAAATAATATAGTTTCTGACATCGTCTATTAGAGTCCGATGTTCAACATATGCCATTGCACAGTACAATCGCCGCTCAAGTTTGGATTAAAAAAAGAACAGTCAGATGCGTGCGCACACAGTTTCTCTACAGAATGGTTCCGGAATGGTCAACAAATGGAGTCTTAAATCATGTCCTCGACCAGGTATTTGATACCATTTTGTAGAGAACTCACTTTGCTAAATGGCTGTTTTATGCACTTTTCAGCACAAGATAGTGATCGTCAGGCATAACCTGTTTGTATAAGCCCACTCTGGCTCATGTCATTTTGTACAAACCCAATGCCCTTGGGTCAGGGCTTTCTGTAGACTGCAACCCTGGAGCCCTTACAAAACTGCGGTTGTCAACCCCTCCCCCTTTATTTCAAAGGGGATATTTTTTGCAACTATTTTTGAACAAGGCCTGCAACTGAACCATCATCATCCACTGTTGCAGGTAATAGACCCCAACCTTGAGACACAGTCAGAGCCTTTGGCCTTTGGGTTGATCAAGACATGTGACCCCGGAACCTTCGCCTTTTTACGCTGGTTAGTTGAACAACAAAGACCTCTGACTGGTCGAACAGATGCCTTTTCGGACGTTCCGAGAGATGGCGTTCTTTTGGACGGTGCGGATTCCGGTCGCTCCGGTGGCTCCCGGGGTGAGATCCGTGCGGTTCGGATCCGTCCCGTGCGACTTCTGACCTTTGAAGCACCGGCAGAAAGTCAGTGACCGACAGATGTCGGGGGGTCACCGACCCGCCTCGCCACATGTGCAATTCCGAAATGCTCAGAACCCCGGACATTGGAGCCCTGCAAGAGGAGAATAGGGCGTCATAGCGGTTCTCTTCGGATGTCGCTTTGCGGTGCAAAGTAGAAGTCCCGGATGCAGGCATCTGGTGATCTGGTGCAACCTCTTCACTTGGGTTTCCAGAAACCAACGGTGGTTTGTATATTTACATACAGTTATTACGTACGTAAATTGAAAGCCACCCGGTTCACTATTTGCTAGGACACGCTCGAGGCTCACATGTGTGTGGGGCACGGCACGAGAATCTTCCCCTACCTTGACCACAAAGAGCTTGCGTGAGTGTTTTGCGTTCAAGACACGTGGTGAATTTCGCGGCTGGTGCAGCCAGCCACCTTCGATCAGACCCATCACTACCGCCAGGTGGTGGTCTTCCTTGAATCGGCCCCAAACGGCCTCCGATTCCGATGGCGGCTCCGGTGTCCTCCGGCTAGGCCATGCTGAAGTTGGGCGGCCACACTGCGCTTTGCAAGGTCGACGCGCGAACTTCTCGGACCGTCGCCGACACGACAGTCTCACAGCTGGTTTCGCGCTCCTTCTTGGACTAAGAAAAAACCTCTCAAGAGATTCTTGGGATGTCACGATGTCTGGGCCTCGAAAGGTCACGAGCAAAAAGCACTCGACAGCCGGGATGTCCGTGGAGCTCCACGGGTGTGTCCACAGCGACCGTGGACGTCTTCGCCCCACTGGACTCATCCGGTGGAAGCGGGCTTGGCATGCACTGGAAGACTCCAGGCCTCCGAAAACCAAACCAGGGGATCCTTTTTTTCAGGTTGCATGTGGGTCTCTGGAAGAGGGCGGTAAGGCCTAGAATGTGGACTCTTGATCAACATAGCCCCCCCTTCCAATTGGATTGTAAAACAAACGTCTACATGGGGGTTTGATCAATCAAGAGTCTACATGTAGATGGAAGTGGCTCAACAGGCTGAACACAACACACTCAACATCGCTTGATCTTCATCGAAGAATGGATTCCGGCCACGCCGACACTGGGCGTCCGCGGTTCCGAAGGGTGGCCCGCCGAGGCGCTGAGGGGCGACCGCCCCAAAGCCGCTGTGGCCATTGCGAACCCCCATGGATTTCCGGGGTCCGCCAGAGCAAGGGGTTACAGGAAGACGGCCTTTCCAACCTCAGCCGACCGGAACCGGTGGTCCTGGCCGAAACCAACGCTTTGGAGTCCGAGCTTGGCGACCCCGCCGAGTTCGGCCGGTGGCCGAAACGGTCCTCGGGTGGCGTCGAGCGCTGCGCCAGGTGCAGTGCACCAAGGTCATGGAGTACTGCGCGCGCGAGGCGGGACCGCAGCGACGAACGGTCGGTCGAGTGGTTTGGAGTCCTGGGTGGATCTCATGTGTCATGGGTTTCATTTGGGGTGTGAATGGGTTTAACCCTTAGAGACTGCAACAGCATTGGTTTCCTGGACCCCAAAAAGGTACAGGTATAGCACAGATGTTCTGAGTGGGCGACGTTGGAATGGAAGGTCCTCAGGAAGAATCCTGTGGTGAACATCTCCCAGGAAGCAGTGTGTGCTTTTCGGGCAAATCCGTGTACAGTACGAAGCTTTGATTTGCCATTTACCATTGCAAATAGGTATATTCTCAGTGTATAGTATATAGGGTTTTCTTAGTGAGCAGGTGGTTGGCCCACGACGTAGTTTGATTTGCATCTCACATCAGATCGATCAGCGTAGAAAGAGGGTGTCAAGCCTCAGGTTTTCTATCACCCGGGAGGGGATTCACCTTTCTATCCAACTAGGAACCACTAATTATCAGGGTTTACTACGCATCGTTTTCGAAGCTGCTTGAAGAGTGTGTGTGCGCGTGCGCGACACACACAGACCCTCTCACCCCATTGTCCATCCACTTCCCCTCCCACCCCCGCCCGGTGTGCTGCGCCCACATCGGTGCCCGAGGCCGCGCAGATCTTTGGCGGCCTGTCCTACAGCCGTGGCGGGCAGGGCGAGAAGGTGGAGCGCCTGAACCGTGAGGTGCGCGCCATGGCGATCCCCGGTGGATCCGAGGCGGGCGCCAAGCCGCGGGAAGACGGCGGGAGGGTTGGAGGGGGTCCAAGAGGATGAAAGCAGCGCCGAGGCACAGAAAAGGCTAGGCCACAAAGGGATACGAAGCAGATGGAGCAGCCTCGACGTTCTTGTGAGACATCTTTTTGGGGTTGGGTACTTGTAGATGGCCCAAATCATTGATTGCTTGGATGGTGCAAAGTCAAGGACTCAAAGAGCTTGATCCCTTGATCAAGAGCGGAGAGGGATTTGTACCTAGGATCCATGTATGTCTCGGACTGTCCAGGCCTCCTGATAAATTCGTTAGGCACAGTCGAAACGTATCAGATAGGCTGCAACACCACCAGGTCCTTGGCATGAAGAGAGGTGAAGAACCAGGCTTGACCAATCTTCACGCCTCACCCAAGGTTTGTGCCAGGAACTTTGAGAAGGAGAAACAGGTAGTAGGGATTTCTTTTTGCTCAGCTAATATGGCCCAAACCATGACGGACGTATCATAATGAATCTTCCCGTACATCCGTCTACTACTTGTATCAGTGCCTTACGAGGGTTAGAAGCCAACATGGACAAGAAACCACCTGCGCAACCCTTATGATCAGGAGATCATGCTGGACCTCGGTGTGAAGCAGTCAACCAAGCTGGCCGAGATGGCGAAGATGTTTGCAGAGGCCGCGCCGCAAGCGCAGCAGGCCAAGATGTAGAGCTCACTCTTGAGTGGCTGAACAAGGGAAGGGCGGGCGTGGGTGGGCGCTCAGATGCCTGAACCGGCACTCCATTCAGCGCTGCTGAATCGACATCTCCTGAAGCCCCGGGGCAGGCGCCCATGGGGTGGGTCTTGAGCAGAGGATCTTGGAGGGCGAAGGTTGAAGGCTCCAATCGGTGGCACACTGAGTCTACAAAGGAAAAGGTGAAAGGGCTCTACTAAGGGGGGTTTGATTTCAGGTTGGCGCAGAATTCAGGTGATTCGGAAGCTCTCAAACCAGACATCCAGGAAGCTCTCAACTTTCGCCCGATTGGTGAATAGTTACCTGGAGGGAACCTTAACCAGAAGGCGCCTCCGACATTTCAAGGTTCCGAACATTTTGTGGTTCCTCTCGAGCTTTTGAAGCTGTGCGGACCAAAGATATCCAGAGCGGCCACGCACTCGTGCATGGGGCTCCAGGGATTCTTGAAAGAGACCATGACCGTCAACGTTCAGGTTGTCTTTGCGGAAATTCCTACGGGTGGCGAAGCGAGAACATCGGAAGCTCTCAGAATCCGGGCCTTCCGCAACACAGGGTGTCCGGACCCCTGCGTTTCGGTGTCGGCCCCCCTTCGGAGTCGGTGGCGCCGTGCCCACCAATCTGGCGCACGGAGAGAAGAAGACTTCACCACAAAGTGGAGCCACTGAAAGGAACTCCATCCGAACGAAACATCCGGCAGAGAAAGGACCCACGAAATCCAAATGGATTGACGTTTGACTACCCCAGAAAGAAGCCCTTGGTTCGTTTGACACAGGTCCGTTCAATTGGTGACAGTGCTCTGGAGCATTTTCCGTGGGGTAGACCTGTATATACCAGGAGTTCCAAAGGTGTGTTTTTTAGACTCCCAGTGAAGGGGAAATGGGCACACCCCTTTGAAACGGGTAGAAGAGTCCCCGCCACTTCTTCGATTTCCATCCACCAAATAAACGAACCTGCGCAATCTCTTTGACTGCAGACTTTTCGTTTTTTTCGACTCACTCAACGTTGGCTCGAAGTTTTGGTCAACTCGACCCTTCGAATTATTTCGAGGCACCCAAGCTTGCGAGGGGAGACCAGGGGGTGGAGGAGACTCGGATGCGAGCGAAAAGTGGAAGCTAAACGTGGTGGGAGCCTCCTCCAGATCATCTTCTGTCGGGATGTGAGGTCAGGGGAGGGTAGCAGTTGAGAGCTGGACACTTGAGAGATTTTCCCTTGAAAACATGGCCCAAAAGTGTTGGGGGAAAAGCTGGGAACAATGTGCTGCAAGTGCTATTTGTCAGTTATCCCAACGTTAACGTGACCTTTGTTCTCAGATGACCATAAATGACATTCCCCTATCACCATATTTCATTGCTTTGGGGGGAAAGGACAAAGTGCAACAACCATGTGCAACCATAAAGTGAAGGTCGAAGCCATCAACAATCGTTGACGCCCCAATCCCTTTTTATGAGCACCCCCGGCGGTACGGCTTTTTACCTTTTGAGCCTTTCTTCATAGCGGACCCTGTTTGACTGGAACATTCTTGCTCATCCCACGAGGTGGGAGTCCCTTCTCCCCCTGGCGCTCCAATTTGGCCGATGGCCACGAAAACCAGGGACGGACCCGGAGCGGAAGTGCGCGATGCGTTTGCTCACACGAGCTTGGTCGACCACCCAGACAGGCTCACCATCCACCCCTCACTGACGCCGGAGGCCCAGCATGGCCTTTCCTCCCTTGGGCGCCCTTCCGGGCGCCCCCGGCGCCCTACCGGGCTTCCCTCCGCTGCCTGGGCTGGGCGCTCCAACGGGCGCGCCAGGCCAGTCGTGTTGTGCCGGTGTGGAAGTGTGGGGCCTAAGGGAGTGGATTTACGAGCTGGCTTAAAGGGGGTTCTAAGATTCTAAGGTGTTTAATCAGCGACAGGATTCCGCTTCCCAACCAATAGCACTAGGTTTGCTAGACCAATCTAGACAAGCCTGGTCGCAGTGACTGCTGGCTAGGATTGAATCTTCACGACCCTGACGCCCCGCTGACTTCCTTATCGCACTGAGTAGGTCACTTTTCCAGATCCTCAACTTAGATCAACTTAGGCAGAATCCAATCCTTTGGGTCTGTCCTACTACCTGTAACAGTCAGTAAACAATTACCACTGTGACTGTTACTGGTAATAGGATAGATAGACCCAACCAATCCTCAGCAAACTAGGCAGAATCCTGCGAGCGCCATGTGCCGTGTTTCGTTCTCAAGCCCCACAGCCTTCCCACGAGCCACACGGTCCAGCGAGGTCGCACTCATCGAAACAGAGAGAAAGTTCAACCTCACACCTAATGATTCTTGATCAATAAGCCCCCATATGAAGAGGATGTCCTATTCGAATGGGTGGGTTTATTAATCAAGAGTCTACATGACTGGAGTAATTTGCCTTTTCCTTGACCAAGACCAGTTAACACCCAATCAACCCTCGAACGAGGAGACCTGGCAGTGAGGGTGCAGGTCTTTGAGCCAGGCGATTCCAAGACTGCTTGCCCATGCTTGTCCCATTCGAGTTTTATGCAGCACGACGATCAAAAGGTTGTCCTACCGTAGACTCAAATCCGCATGATGTTTAGATCCGCAAGGCCCTGTTTTCGACCATGAAAGTGGACACATGCGGAGCCTCGTGGAGGTTTTCCTTTCGGCCTTCGAAACAAGCCATGGTCGGGCATGCGGAGGTCCACTGCATTGGGAGAGGTGTTCACCATTGTTCACCCACTTTCATCGGAGAGGTTATTTCTTCTTTTTTTCTTCAGCGTTTCCAGGTGGATTTACCTGCATGATCCTGCATGAGGTGCCCATGTTCACCCGCCAAATGGCCGGAGCCACTGGACCGTGCCAAGAGCCACACGAGCCGTCAAGAGCCACCGGTGGAGATCGGAGGTCTGCCGGCGGTGAACCCCTTGCTCGCTCAGCAGCAACAGCAGCAGCTGGGTTTCTTCGTGGTGGACGTGGGTCGTGGTGGACGTGGTTGGCGAACGAAGAGCGGTTGATTTCGGTTCGAAGAGCTGGTTTTGAGTTTGGAACAGATGTGTGTCGTAGGTTGGCTGTGCCAAACCTTGCTCGGAGCTTTTTTGGAGTAAGGGTCCCCACGAGGATCTGCTGATCCTTTCGAAGGGCTGGGGCCTTTTGAACCAAACAATGACAAACACCTTGAAATGGCTGCAGAAGTTGCCTAAACACGCCCAACTTGCCGGTAGGACGCCCCAAACACCAAATACCTGCGTCCTGCGGCGTTTGGGACTTCACCAACCCCCGTCGTTCGTGAGGAGTTCGAACGGAAGAGCCCCAGCTGAAGCCCCTTTTTCCTCATGCTTTCTTGGTCTATTCAAATTCTGCAGATCCCAATCCAGCTATTCAAACTCCGAGACTTTTGCACTCTGTGCTGATGGACCCAGGCAATATCTGCAGTACCTCCTGATGGCGCAGCAAGGTGCCGCCGCAGCAGCTGCCGCCGCGACAGCGCCGGCGGCCCCGACCGTGCCGGCGGCCGCGCCGGCCGCGCCGGCGAGTGTGGACGCCTCGGCTGCGCTGCAGCAGTGGCCTGGAGGAGGTTTAGCGCACCCAACACCCGGGTTTGGTCACCTCGCACTTTGATATCTCTTTCTGCCACTCGAAATCTAGAACTCCATTCAGAACTCCATTCAGATGTCAGGGTCTTTGAGTTGGTCAACACATTTGTTGACTCAGTTGACTACTCTCTTCTTGCAGGCAGGGATCTCGATTTCAAACGAAGAGCTTCTTGGGGACGCCGGGATCTGAGTCCATGAGGCAACTCCTGCAGCAGCTGACCAATGCGGCAGCTGTGGAGCCAGAGCACAAGGCATGGCTTTTGAAGTTGAAGTGTCTTTTTTTAAAAGAAAAACAGGGTTCCAAAATCTTAAAACCATGTTCCGACTGGTTCAAGAAGGAGTTGTTGCTTTGACCAAATTCCTGGATTCAGGCGCTGGTGAAATCACATCCTGTACCAACAGACAACTCTTGTCATTCGCATGTCCGGGTGGATCCACCATCCTTATGCTGGTAGCTGGCAGCCACTTTCCTGTCTCTTTGCTGGATGGCATCAAATTGTACGATGGCCAATCAAACTTGACAGGAATTGGAGAAGTTTTCACACAGGAAGCTGGGTATGAAGGATCCCAGCAATGAATGTGTTTCAAGCATTTGTACTGTATACATTTGTCCCACAATGAGGAGATGTCGTGAACCAGGCTGACCCATGGATTGCATTTATATACTCCTTTCGCAGATTCAATGCAGTATCTCCAAGACAGATTGTCTACTCTAATGAAGAAGGAGGTCTTCTTGTTCCAAGGGTGGCGTTGTTGACTCCAGACAGCGGCTGTCTCCCCCAATCTTCGTCTTCTGACGCCCATGGTCTTTGTCCGCGCAGGAGAGGCAACCTGCAAAGGTCAATGGGCAGCCGAAAGTGCAGTCCAAGGTGTGACCTCGGTGGACGATTTGACGGACCCACACGCAAAGGAGGCGCCCGATGTTTGGATGGCCAAGCAGGGCAGATTTTCCTTCAAAAGAACATGCCCAATCCAACATCTACAAAGAACAAAAAGCCGAAAAGCACATACACAACAATCGTTGAAATATTTGTGTCTTTTCATCCCCAAAAAGAACAGTGATCCGGGATGGCTCATGTGGTGTTCTTTTTCTTGGCCACGCCGTGGAGCCTCACCGAGCCCCCCCCCCCCCCCGAAGCTCGGTGATCTGAAAGCCGAGTCGTGGGGCTAAAACCCATGTCCCCCCTGTCGATTTGTTGGATTCTCCGAGGTGGAAGCGAAAAGCCTTTCTGAGAAGGCTTCCAACAGATCCCTTTTCATCAGTAGCTCATCCCATTGAAGCATCCCTCCAGCTGTTCAGTTCTCCCCTTTTCATCCCTTTTCTACTTCGGGCCTTCAACTCCGCAACCGCCCGAGCCTCCTCGCACGCCACCGGTGTGGCGCCACGAGAAAGGGACCACTCGACGGGACCGTCCGACCGGTCGGCACCGCAGAAGAAGAAGAGCAGCTCCAGTGGATCGAGGCCGCACCTTCTGTGCGCGGTGCGTGCGCGGTGCGTGCGGTGGCGGAGCGTGGTCCAACAAGTGGTGATGTGACATCCATCTCTCCGGGTGTCGGTCCAACAAGCCCAAAAAGCATGACACGTCGGGTGACGTCCGGGCGACATTCGGGCGACGTCCGTCCAACAAGAAGGACACACGGAGGACGATCTCCGACGATCTTCACTCCAACAATCTCACAGGGAGCAGAAGGGTCTGTGTCTTCACCATCAGCACCTTTTTCCGAAGGACCCTAAGGCCATGGTTTGACCAGGATGGCCTAGTGGCCTAGTGCTTTTGCTTTCCCAGGTGCATCCGACTTGCATCCAGGACAGCAAAAGCACGTTGGATGCACCTGGAAGTCTCATTCCGACCGCCCCGACCGCCCCAGCGAGGTCGCGCAGTGGAAGCGGAAAGCGCAGCCCGAGTCGAAAACGGAGCAATAGCCGAAAGAAGAGGAGAGCAGCTGAGTCACCAAGTTGGTTGAATGGAGAAAGTATGGTATTTGTAAAGCATCGCTAAAATGGCCTACCCTCAAGAATGGAGCACTATGGTTGTCATTCACTCAAAGCGAAAGACACGACTGTCATCTTCGCAGGGGCGAGACAGTTCTTCCCTGCGAGGCTCCAGCCAGCCTGCGAAGGAATGCATCGTTTGTCCTCTCCAAGTGAATTTGCCCCTCCATCCATGAAGCACCAGCATTGTGCGTGAAATATGGACTCTTGAAATCATTGGACATTGCTCAATGATGGAACCCCCGAGCACCCATGATGAGATGAGACATCCATGATGGAGCCGATGGACCATCAGGCGACCACCCATGACCCACACCGGCCGATCCATTGCATGGCTGATCTTCCTATTCTCAGCCCACCGGCCAGTTCTCTGTGCACCCGACCCCTCCGAGAAAACTTTGGATCTGTGTGAGGTGGTTTTTGGTTGCAAGTGAGTGGATGTGACCGGGGGGCAGAGCCCGGGGGGCAGGGCCCACAGGGCACCCCTAAGTCTCTTCCAAAAGTTCGGCCACCCCCATGCTGTGGATCCATGTGGTCCAACGGTGGATGGCCCCGGTCCCACTGTAGGATGGCACAGGTGCAAAGATCCCCCAAAACATGCACATGGTTTCCAAGATACTTCAACCATCCCCACAGATGAGGCTTATTGGATCTTATTAGTCACTCAGTTGGTGTCTTTGAAGCTCCTTGCAAACCCTCTGAGGTGGAGGACCCGACCCCCAAAAAACGCCCGGCTCGGAGTCCCCCACCGGTGAGGGCTCCAAAAACGCCCCGCCGCCCCCGCCCATGGGTGGTGAGGGCTCGAGGGAAGAGTTCGACATGCCCAACGTTCGGAAGCGACACCCAAGAAAGAACACATGCATCCCTGTTCAAAAAGAAAGAACACATGTCGACGGTATATGATATGTGCCACTGACTGGATGTGGTGCAGCATTTCTTCCGAAATCCAAAGGGTGGTCTCTACTGGAGACTAATGACCAACGGCCCTCAAACTCCATGCGTACTCCACATGGTCTATGGTCTCACATGTCACAACTCCATGGGTTTTAGGCACCTTTCCTGGTAATGGTATGAGGGGCTTTCGTCTCTTTTTGGGCCGCCTCCTCGACTCGCTCCGTCTCCCGTGTCGCGTGAGCTCGGCTCGATCCCCGTGAGCTTCGCCTCTGGGAGTCAGGAGACGCAGCTCCAGCTCCAGGCGATGGAAGCCGGGGAAACCGGTGGGATCCTGATCAACGAGCTTCGAGCGACCGGCCCTTTTGGTTTTGGATCAAAGGGGAGGTGAATTTTTGGAAGTAAAAAAAAGGGTTGCTTCATCCGCGCATGGTGTACTCGCGATATTCACGCATTGGGAGTTTGGTGTTAGAGTGCAAATCTTGAGTCTGGCCGGGTGAGGAGCAGGTGAGCAGGAGCCAGAAGACCAGGCACCTCTCCTCACACTGCATTTTTCACCACCTCACTGAGAAGACTCCAACGAAGTAAATCTGTGAGCACCTAGCAATCACAACTAGTAGCGATGCCCTTGTTACTAGTAGCTTCTTGCTCCTAGTAGTAAGGCCAGGAGCCCCTAGTAGCGTCCTTGCTCCTAGTAGCGCCTTGCGCCTAGTAGTAAGGCCAGGAGCCCCTAGTAGCGTCCTTGCTCCTAGTAGCGATGCCAGGAGCCCCTAGTAGCGTCCTTGCGCCTAGTAGCACAACTACCAAGTCACCCTTTTGGCGATGCAATGGATGCTTTCATTAGCCGAGTAGGGTCCAGGATCCCCAAACGAAGGGTTTTCGTTCGAGCGCCAGTCGAAGTCGCAGCCGCAGCCGCAGCCGCAGCCGTTCGCGGCGCAAAGGAGGAGGGGGTGCGGGGGCGTCGGCCAAGAAAGCTGGGCAGCATATCGGTGACACAGAAAGTCATGCAACTGGAAGTAGTTCTTCACAACCTCTTAGGGTTGTGATCTTGATTTGAGTTATTGAACTTGTAACATACTGGAATATAGCTGCGAACATTGAAAGGCTTGCCTAGAAGGTCGACCCAACGCTGGGGGTACCTACAAAGCATCTAAGGCCAAAGATACTCTGTATGTACTGTACCGCAAATGACGGATGAGCCATCCAAACTGGAATTCGCTCGTCCGATGTGATCGTTTTGGTAGCAGAGTCTCGCTCGTCGGCACACCAGTTTGGATTCTCCAGCTGCGAGGGTCAGTCGGTGGTCTACAGACTTTGTGGGATCTCAGTTTGATAGGGTGTCAGTCGGTGGTCTCCCGGTATTGTAGATGAACATCTCTGTTCACCAGGTCCAGGTCAACCATTTCGGATCGTGTCCCAAGTGCTGGGGCACAGCATTGGGTATTGAAGACCGTTCTTTTTTCCTTCTGAGTTCCGGCATTTCTATCTTTGAGGCTATGGCAACGAACATCGAGTAGGAGCCTGGGGCTAGCAGCAGGGTGTCCGAGATTCTGAAGGACTTCAGAGCAACCAAAGGTAGTTAAAATCATTTGGACTCTAGACTCCCTTGTGGTTTGCTTCTATTCCAACTTGGACCCCCGATAGATTGGACCTTCCTTTTGAATACCCATGATTCTCAAGGCCAAGAAGCAAAAAGGGTGGCAAGGTATCACTACAGTAGACAACCATAGACAACCTCCATTTTTCTCTACCAAAACCATGTCATGTTCTTGATGGCTCGCCGAAGGCCGCCACCGCAGCCCCTCGCGCCGGCGGAACCGCAGCCCCTCGCGCCGGCGCTCGCCGCGGCCCCGCGGGGGCGGTGGTGGCTTCGGGGGAGGTGGCTTTGGAGGAGGCGCTCCGTCCAGGGGGATTTTGGGAGGAGCTTGGAAGACAAACCGATCCAATGTGATTTGATAAAGAATATGTAAAAAAGGTAAATTATCATCTATGGCTCCGATGGCTATATAGGCTATAGGTGGAAAGGTGTAGCATTATAGCTTTAGTTTTCCTCCTAGGACCCTTTCATGCATGGGTGCTGATTAGGCTTATATGAAAAGCGATCTTATCCTGAACAAAAGGATCCAAAGAACCCGCCGTCATTGGTCGTCTCTGTTCTAAAGAACCGGCGCATGTCGGTGCATGGCTTTGGCAGCTGCCACGTCCGGGAGTTCGCACGGAAAACGCTCGGCCACAAAGAGATCTTTAGATGCATCCACGGACCGAGCGTGGATTGGACACTAACAGACATTGGGCGTGCAAAGGGGAACCACAACTCACAACTCCTTGCTTCTCTGTCCGGGATCCAGGAAAGACAAGTCCGAAGGTTTGCCCTCTGCACTGCGTTTAGTCGCAACCACCTGTAGAGGAGCGGACCAACGCCCAGTCGTGGACGCACCAGTCACCGCCAGGCGGTGGCGCTGGCGGTGGCCCTCGCTTTGGCGGAGGCCGGAGCTCTCGCGATTCGGAACGCCACTCCTTGATGTAGACTCTTTGATTACTAAGCCACCCATACACAGAGGTTTTTCAATCCAAATGGGGAGGGCTTATTGATCAAGAGTCTACATGAATCTGCTATTTCTAGACACAGATGTTCACTTGTGCCTGGACGTGATGCCTGGCTTCAGGGTGGTGCAGCGTTCTGTTGCACGATCCATGCATGAACCCATGGACCCATCGGCTCTGTTTGCGAAAGACGTCCGGACCGGTGCGGACCGGCCCGGACCGCGTTCTTCACGGTTCCTGCGCTGGAGCTCGCCGGAAGTGACAAGGCTTCGGCCCGGAAGACGATTCAGAAATAACAAAACTCTTGTTCTCAGCGTGTGAAAGCAACAAGCCCCAAGAGAGCGAGTTGGAACATGTGAAAGCAACAAACTTCAACTCACTTTCAGAAACCAAGCAACCGCTCCAACTCACCAGGCCATCCTTTTGCGACCCGGACTCTCCCTGGTCAGCTCAGGCGGTGGTGAGCAATGCGGCGACTTCAAGCGGGGCAGATGTACCCGCGGCGCGGCGTGCCGCTTCTCGCACGGTGGCCGGGCGGAGAAAGGGAGGGATGATGGAAGTGGGGCCCAAAAAACTTCGGCACCATGTGAGCAACTGCCAAAAAAGGATAACGTTGGGAAGAGTGCACACTACAACACATAAGAGGTTTGGCACGTTCCTCGTAGCCTCCCCTTGGCGATTCAAGAGAGGTCCTGAAGTCCATCATCCATGGCCACGAGTGTGCAACTGAGGTCCACTTGTCGTGTGTGAGAGCTTGATTGGAAGAAGAGATTAGGTCACCACACGTGGTAGACTCTTCGGAAGCCAGGGTGACGCTCACCTGGGCACCTCCTGATGGCAGACACACACCAAAACACTTGAACGCTCTGCCGTGATTGGGGTTTGGTGGCTGCTTGGAGGCCTCAATTGGGGGGCCCTTCAATAGCCTTTCGTTCGACTATTTATATCACTTTTGTTTATATATTATATATATATCTTTTTAGGAAGATGTACACAGAAAGGTTGACCTGGCTTTTGTAGTCTATACATATATCATATATCTAAAACATTCTAAAACCCTTTCGTCAAACAAGACCCTTTCGTTGTTTGCTAACAGACCCTCAAAAAGAAGGGTGAGGTCTCCGGCACCCCCAGGGGCCGACTGTGACAGTGCATTTTTGGGACCGAAGACTCAGGACGTTGGGTGCCCGAAGAGAAGAGAAACGGGAAGGACTTGGGACCCCCAGAAGGGAGAGGTTTTCTCGGTCGGGTGTGAAACGAAGCCGAACAGTTTCGGGGGTTCCTTCAAAAACAATTCCATCATGTAGACATCTGTAGACTCTTGACTGATAAACCCTCCCCAATTGAATCGAAAAGCCTCTTTACATGTGGAGTTGATTGGTCAAGAGTCTACGGTCTACATTATATATAGGGTCTGTCCAATTAATACAGTCAACAGTCAGTAAACCAGCAAATCACTATTTTTGAACCAGGTCTTTACTGACCACCATCATCCACTGTTACAGCTAATAGGATAGATCCGCTGGATAGGATGGTCGGCGAGGGTCCACGCCCGGCTTCGCCGGGCCGAGGAGATGATGGAGGAGGTGGCGGCCCCCCCTTGGCTGACTTCAAGGCAGGGGGAGGAAAAGAGGGCGCGCGTAAAAATATGTAAAAATGAGGCAACAGCATCTTTGCTTTATCAGTTATTGATTTGGGAGAGTACTCTCGTGACTCTCGAACCAGGTTGTGGAATTCACCAAGCCGGTCCTCCCTGTTGCGGACATCTTTCGATTTGCATTGGTGGCGTGGCGTCTCCCGCTGCGACCGTAGCGATCAGATGGGAGACCCGAACACCAGACCTGAACACACGACGGTCGCATCGGCGACCGTCCTCCACACCGTTCGTGCACTGCAAACCGGCCGGGGCCCGAGGCACGAGGAAACGGCGCGTAGAGGCTCCCCCAAAGGTGACGCTTCCGAGTTCTTCCAACCCACAGCTTCACAGCTTCTGGAGTCTCTTTTGTTCTTTATATCTACGTACCTCACCGCCGTCTGGAGGCTCCTCCCTTCCCCACTCTGCAGGCGCCCGGCGGCCCGGCGCCGGCGAGCCTCGCCGCGCTGAAGCCGCCGCCCAGCATGGCGGAGCTGAACGCGGATCCCAATGCGCACAACAGCGGCGTGGCCGAGGGGGGGTCCACGCGTGTCGCCCCGACCGGGGTGGAAGGGATCGGACAGGATGGGTGGGATGGGTGGGATGGGTGGGAGGTGTCTTGGGCACCTCAAACGGCTGAAAAGACACAGGAGTGACGCAGGTCACACTCGTTTTTGCTTCTTTTCCTTTTGTTGGCTTGCAGGTTGTTTATGAAGGTGCAGGACCTGGGGCGCCCATTGCTTTGTGGGATGGGTTTGCGACATATTTAGGGAGCAGGCAACAAGGGTCCGAGGTCATGTTTCAGCTGCTTCGTACAAGTACAAGCATGCTTTCTCAATACAAAGGACATAAACGTAGCAAGTAGCGGACCTGCCTGTGATGCGGTTCCTAGAAGTAATCTCTTCTTCAAGGACTCGCCAAAAGCCCGTACGACTCACTAAATGGATGCTGATGCTGGACAAATGCTATTTTTTTGGCCAGACCCTTGCGCACAGAATCCCCCCAGAAAGCCCCTTGCAAGCTGAAACATGGGTGTCATCACATGTCACCACCCGAAAACAGTGTATATAACAGGGATCCTTCTGAAGCAGAAGGTGCTTTTTGGGAACTAAAACGTCGGGTAAATGTAGGCGTGCGTTGCGAAACCTTCGAAGTGGAAATTCCGTAGAGTGTTTTGTTTGCAACATTCAAACATTCAGGGCCCGAGTATTAAATATATATATATATATAATCCCCACCCCCTTAGCCATGGATTTCAGGGGGGGGTCTGAAAAATGTAACTTACATTTTCCCACCCCCTCCCCCCCCCTCGAAAAATGTAACTTACCCCCCCCCCAGGTACCCCTATTGAGGTGCATGAGGGGGGGGGAGGGGGTCTAAAAATGTAACATGATGTCTGCCAGGTCTGTAGTTACATTTTCAGCCCCCCCCCCAAAAGAGAGGGGGGGGGCTGGAAATTGTAACTTGAACTATCCAGGCCTTCATGTTACATTTTACAGGCCCCCCCCCCCTCCCTGCAGATGTGACTGTGCCATACTGTCAGCAAAAGACAAAATGATTGAGGGGGGTTTGGAAATTGTAACTTGGACTCTGCGAGGCTGACGGTTACATTTTACAGGCCCCCCCCTTGTGTAACTTTGATTGTACAATATTGTAACATTGTACATTTTACAGGCCCCCCCATTGCGCCAGAAAGCGTGCAGCTTCTGAAACTTGTCGTTGTGCGTCAACCCCCGTGACTCCAGCTCTTTCTGCATCTCCTGTGCCTTTTTCTTGATTTCTTTCTTGGAAATCATTTTCTTTTCGCCAAGTGACTCCTCAGCTGAATGTAGACAGCATAATGTAACTTAGGTGTGTCCAGGCCTGGGATATGTGCAATTTCACCTGGTGTGTGA